TGCATGACAAATTTGTTTAGAGAGAGTAAACATATTATGGTTAGTTCCACATATGCTCAGACTCACACATAATCACTAAACACACCCGTTCTCTCTGTACTGCCTACAAACTACTGTAGTAAATGCATGCATTGTCATCAAATGTCCGAGCTGTTTTGTTAATTTCTGTGTGTTTCAGATTAGTGGGAGTTTTTTTCTTTCTTATATTTAGATGCATCTATAAATACTGTCAGTGAGTTAGAGAGGCGTCTAATGAGTCAGAATGTCACAATACGTGTGCAAATACACATCAGGACAGCAGAGGAAAGAATCCTTCAGTAGACAGAGCACTTTACAACTCAACAGATTCCTAAACCAAATAGGGCAATATTGGAATCATTTGGGAAGTCAATACATCTTTAAAATTAGTTCTAGTCCTGTTTTATTTCTTCTTAAAATGGAAGGACGCGCTGTGCACCAGCACTCAAACTATTTCCACTAAATTATTATTCAGACTAATTGAATGCCTCTGAATACCTTGAACCGGACGCCAGAACACTTTAGAAATGCTTGAGACTGTTACATCATCCTTGTTACATCAAGACAAGGCTACAAGATTCAGTGCTTCACTGCCATTTCATTAGGTTTTTAAAGGCATAGTTCACATAAAATTAATAGTTCACATAAATTCATTATTTACTATACTTGTGTCATTTCAAACCTATTATCAATAGGAAAACAATTTGTGCGCTTTTTTTCAATACAACAGCAGTTTGTTGTAGCCATATCTGTCATGCTCCAAAACACTTTTAAGAGGTCCAAATGTACTAAATTCGCAGTCTTCTGAAGGCATAATAGTGCGAAGAACAGGAGAAATTGAAGTTTATTGTATTTTCCACTTGTATCAGCTTATTTTTTAAATGAAAATATTAAAATAAAACTTAAATAAGATAATATTATACTTAATCGAAAAAAAATACCAAAAAAATAGATTTAACAGAAAAAGAAAACCTTTGTCGGAAAACTTCCCTTTCCCCTTTCCATTTTCTTCAACTTTTTAGGTGAAAAAAAAAACAAAGAGGACCGGTTACGTAAAAACAACTCTTAGTCAACCCTGCCCTTTCTCTCTGTCTGCTGTTGCTGGACTTGTCAAAATTGCTTTGACAGAATATTCACATTACATACAATAGAGAAGTAGAACTAAATTAAATTGATTCATCAATCTTTTTTTTTCTTCATAGACTTCTCACGTAGTCTTTTTACAGAAAAGCAACAGAGCGTTTTCAGAGTCTTTTTCCTTGAATCACCTGAGCATTTGCAGTTATGTTAGTGAAATAATAAGTCAAGTCAATAGGGCTATAGCTGATCAAGAATACGTTGGTGGATAGATGTAGTTGATCTTGTTAGTGTAATTGGCAGGCATGATTAAACACGTGTTGACAGCACAGTCAGTGAATGAAGTCAACACAGCAGCCTCGAGCTAATGCTACAGTATATGGGAGCAGCATTGACGTCATTGCGGTGCTTATGTAAGATTCTAATTCTTGGCCTGGATTTCTCTCACTCTCTCTGACTGTGGTCAAAACCAAGGGGCAGTCATGACCTACGGCTGGCCCTGTCAGGGTGTGTTTATGACTTAAGTCTCCCTAAATTCTCTATTTTTTTCACAATTGTTTTTCCTGTTATTGTTAACCTGTATCATGTGATGTTGGCTATATGGATGAGCAGTGCTAGTGTCTTTTTATTCCACCTGTTTGAATGTATCGTGAAGAACCATGCCACACAAACACATGCTTTTGATGGGACTGGAATGGGATGAAATGTTGATTTGCATCAAGGGTAAAGTCGATGAAGTGACCTCTATAAATGACCCTGCTAATTATGACATGCAGGATCACTGATGCCCTTGAATTTCATTTTTTAGACTTTATATTTATTTACAAATGTCTTATTTATTAGTTATTTAGAAAATGTATTTTGCACATTTTATTTAAAAAATGTTATAATGAAAACGATACCAATTTTAATAATTTTTTTGTTCTTTGTAAATTATATTTTCAGCATAATAATTTGAATGAATTAGAATTTGTATTTACTTATAAACTTGTTATTTACTTATCTCTTATTTATAAAACTAATTTTATTAATTTTCCAAAGTATTTTTTTTAAAAATAAAATGTAGGCTGTATAATGAAAATGATTCTAATTTGAATTTTAAATTTAATAAAAATTATATTTCAAATATATTTCAAAATGTGTGTTTGAATAAACTTTTATTTATTTATTTAATGTATTTTATTGTATTTATTTTTTAATTTATTCAAGCTAGAGAATTCTCCCAGTTTTGTCTTTATCAAAAGCATCTCACACTGGCACTTGGGAAGTTACATATAACAGGATGATGCCTGACAAATAAAATATTTACTAATGTAAATCTAGCACAATAATATGAGACATTTAGTACTATAAATAAATATGTGCGACTTCAAAAGGTATGACTCAGTTCGCAGAAAAAGACAAAAGAAACCGAACAATGCTTTGCCCTCACAATGGTCTATTCTTAGGAACACAGAAAGAACAAAGGAAGAATAGAATGAATTGAACTAAAACAGAGCACAGCTGAGTATCTTTAATGGGCATGCAAATGTAAACTCTTCAATTGAGCCAGCTCCGTACTTGAAACCAGTAATTATGTAAGGTGAACCTATCCCCCATATGTTTAAGATTGGGGATGAATTCATTTGATTTTTGCCTGACATTTTAAAGGAGGTGTAATAAGCGTATGTAGGCCAACACATGATCCCCATTGCAAAAGAAAATAACTAAAAATATGCCGCTATTCTGTTACCATAGCGATTTCAGTATTACCAAACAGGTCCGTTACCATGGCAACCACCACGCTGGATAAAGGGTGATGCTGAAATATTCATCAAACAAACATTCAGACAGAAAAACAATCCCAAATCATATACACGCTCTGACCAATTAGCATTTACATTGGCACTGACACACTGCTGGATAAAGACACACCGGCCCTCATCCATGAGGTTACATCAAATCACTCCACTAAGACAGGGGATAAAGCAGATAAAACAACCATACAGAACAAATGATTAAACACTCACTGTCCTCAAAGCCTGTAAAGCCCATCATTTGGCCTGTGGAGTCGTTATGTTCTGGGCCAGCTGTTCATGGACCACAATTCACCACATCTAGCACAATAATATGAGAAGTCAAGTTGAGTTTGAAATGTAATTCTTAAATGTGTGAAATGTTACTATTCAATATACTAAATTATTCCTTATACTAAATTATTCCTTTGATGGCAAAACTGAATTTTCAGCATCGTTAGTCTTCAGTGTTTTAAATTTTACGTCCCTCACACCCTTACATTATTCCATTCTATCTCAGTGTGTTATAGAGTGGAGTTTAACATTTTTTTTTGTGTGTGTGTGTGTGTACAAATCTCTAAATAGTCTGGCTCAACCCTACTTATCTGCTCTACTAACTAAGCATCATCCGACTAGATCACTACGGTCATCAAATCAGAGACTATTGTCTATCCCTAAGTCAAAACTTAACTCTAGGGGGGACCGTGCTTTCTCTGTATTTTTGGCCCCAGATTATGGAATGACTTGCCCATTTCAATTAGAGTGGCCTCCTCATTATTGGTTTTAAATCCAAGTTAAAAACATTTTTGTTGGATAAGGCATTTAACACATGCTAAAGCATTATTCCATTCTATCTCATCATCATTTTAAAGAAGTGAAGCACTTATCCTAGTACTATATTTAAATTTATACTTGTAGTGTTGTTGTATTGTTGTTTGTTTTTTTATGATTTTTATGAATATTGTAAAGCACATTGGACAATGTAAATTGTATTTAATTGTGCTATATAAATAAATTACCATACCATACCAGTGTCACATGATCCTTCAGAAATTATTCTAATATGCTGATTTGGTGCTCAAGAAACATGTATTACTGTTATCAATGTTGAAAACAGTTGATTGATATTGCTGCTTAAAACCCTGATACACTACCATTCAAAAGTTTGGTGTACGTTTTTTTATTTTTTTAGAAGAAATGTATACTTTTATTCAACAAGAATTGTATTAAATTGTGTCATTAAGGACATTTATAATGTTACAAAAATGTCTTAATTGAAATTAATAACTGAGCACCAAATCAGCTTAAGGATAATCTGACACTGAAGACTGGAGTAATGATGCAGAATATTCAGCTTTTCCATCATATGTATATTCAGCTTTTCCATCACAGGAATAAATTGCATTTTAAAATATATTAAATTAGAAAACAAAATGTAGTTTAATATGTAATAATATTGCACAGTATTCCTGTTTTTCCTATTTTTGATCAAATAAGTGCAGCCTTAGTTACCATAAGAGACTTCTTTAAAAAAACATACAAACTTTTGACCAGTAGTGTACGTATATGTAACTGGAGTAAAAAGTGTAACAACATTCTCCTGTCTTTTGAAGAGTGTGGTTGATAATGCATGTCTGTTTTACATGTTCGTCATTGTGTAACAGTGATCCATGTAATGTAACACGTCTATTTGTAACTGAGACGAGCGTCTCAAACAGCCAGTAAAGAGGATAAGGTCAGGCCACTTGGTCAGGACACCTTGCTTTAAAAGTTTTTCACAGGGCAAAACATTAGCATTCTTAAAACTCATAATAATGTAGTTATATTTCTCTGATGGCTATAAAACTACATGACTCAGTGTCAATCAACAGATTACTATGGGCAAATCACAATAATGCTATAGAAGAACTGCCTTCAATTGATTTTAAGCTAGTTCAATTTTAATAACATCCTTAGTAAATATCTTAAACATTTTAACCAACTTCATTCTTTTTATTTCACTATTCTTTTTCCGCATATACAACTAAAGATGAAAACGAAGACGACTTACTATAACCTGATAGGCTACAGCACACCTAGAGAAATTAATAATAATAATAATATAATAAAAAAAACAGTACAAGACCAGAATTTAACACAAACAAGTTTTATTTTTCCTCCAACATACCGTGTACAACAGATATAAGATAGAGGTATCTGAACATGTCAAATAATAATATTTATTAATATCATTATTGTAACAACTTGGAATGTAGTTTTGAATCTTTTCTTTATCTTCTTTTTTGAATTTTCTTTTTTAGTTTATTTAGGAAATATGACAAATAAATAAAGCTTTATCATAGTCTCTGTATGTCAACTAACAATCTGAATATAGTTCTCTCTTCACGATGGGTAAAGGTGCAACGGGACGGTGCTGTAGAGCGACAATTAACAGTCTTCCTTTTCACCACCTACTGTTCCTTCATCCAATAAGGAGTATTCGGAAGCTAATCAAAGTTCTGGAACCTTCTCAGGGAAAGAATACGGGAACAAAATCAGGTCCTTCTTTTGTAAATAACCATTTTATATTCTCAATAAATAGAACGAAAAGGGGAACCAAAGAAACACACCAGGGGAAGGGAGTAAAGCTACTGAACACAGAGGAAGCCGATCATGTGACGTTTCAATGTTAGCCTCTCGACCCTTTTTAATCCTCTACGCACACAAAAGTCGGCAAAGAGACACCAAAAACAACTGAACAGGTGGAGTTTCCGAGATTTTAATCGAGCTGAACATCTCGAGGGACTGAAAGAATGAGGAATAGAAAGAGAAAGAAGCATTTCCCCATTCGAACGCCCTGCTGGTTTAATCTGTGCCGTGATCCACTAGTTGGGAAATGATGGTGATGAGGTTCTCCAATCCGAAGATGTAACCGCTATCCTGGCCCTCGTGGACAACACTATCCTCCCCGTAGTGCCTGCAAGTGGTGTGGGCAAAGTCAATCATGCGTACGTCTACGGCCGGGCCGCTGTCTGACCTGGCCACGCGTCGCACCCCTGCAGAGCCGCTGGTGCCGCTTCCACCACCGCAAGCACCGCTGATGCTACTGCTGCTAGCTGCACCTGCACCGTGAGGGAATCCAAAAGCACCTCCCTCCTCTTCTTCTTCCTCCTCCTCCTCCTCCTCTTCGTCATCTTCCTCCTCCTCTTCCGAAAGTCCATCCTCTGGGGAATGGCGGGATCGCGGAGGGTCTCCGTCGTAGATGATCAAGAGCGAGCTGGAGTAAAAGCGGTAGCTTTCGCAGGCCTCCAGGGCCGCCTGCATGTCTCGCAGCCTCCGAAGCACCGGCGACAGGAGCTCGCGCCTCAGCCGTCTCCCGTCGTGGAAGAACTGAAAGATGGCCTCTTTGAAGCCAGGCAGGGTTAGCTTGCGGCCGTGGTACTTGTTCATGAACATGAGCTGCCCTGTGTCTGAATGGTACACCTGGAGGAAAGCAGAGGAGTGTGTAAATGAAATGCATCGCCTTTCTAATATTTTCTTAATGGAATCACGTTTGAGTGCTACGCTAACCTGCATGCCACAGAGGCGCACTCCGATGCTGGCGGATGTACTTTGCTGACACTTGCGAATCTGCATGGCCTTCTTCTCCTCAGAGGCGTCGTCCCCGTGCTGCCTCGTGCCCATCTTCAGATCGAGCACGCATGGAACCGTGTAGCGCCACGTCAGGTTCTCTAACAGGATGAATTCTGATGGGAGGTGCTGGGTTAAGGGAAACACAGATTCTCCTTTCTTTTCTATAAATTGTGCTATACAATTAACCTCTGTTTTGTTGCATGATAAAATGCTTTTGCTTTTATTTTCCTTACAATTGTCCTCACTAATTGTTTGCGGATAAAAGAAGCTGTATAATTAACTTTTACAGGTTTATAATGTGCTGTCTGTGCTATTTGTTGTTTTGAAGTAAAAATAGGTGTTTAAACTATAATATAATATTAAAAATATTATTTAATATTTTTAGTGATTTTTAAGGAAACAATTAAAACTAATAAAACTATTTAAAATAAGATGAAATTATTTGTTCACATTTTTTAAATTATATATTACCATAATTTATAATTATACATTACCATCATTTACTTTCTATTGGCAATAAATAAACTAAAATATATAGTTTTTTTTTAAAGTCAAAAATATTTTTTTATAAACTCACACTACTGTTCAAAATAATTAATATTTTCCAAAAGAAGTCTCTTTGCTCACTAAGACTCGATTTATGTGGTCAAAAAAACAGTAAAAAACAGTAATATTGTGAAATAAATATTATTAGATTTTTTGTATTTAGATATATTTCAAAATGTAATTTATTCCTGTAATGGTAAAGCTGAATTTTTAGCAGCATTACCCCAGTCTTCAGTGTCACAAGATCCTTCAGAAATCATTCTAATATGATTATTTAGTGATCAAGAAAGATTTCTTATTATTATCAATGTCGACAGTTGTGCGTATATAATAATCTAACTAACATCAGTAAACTACAAAAGACCAATCCAACTTTGTTGTTTGTGGCAGCACTTAAGGATACTGTATTGGTTGCGGTGTTTTGCGTTCTCCTTCATCCTCTGCAGATGTTGTTGGTGGCACTTGAGGCTCCAGGGGTTGTGCTTGAGCTGAGGGCCGGCAGCATTGCTCCCCTCCAGACTGTAGTAGAACACATCGGCCTGCTTGAGCCACTCCTCCTCGCGTTTCACACTGCAGGGGTGAAGACAGAGGCGGGTCAGCCAGATTAGGCCAAACATGCTGGATCAGACTACAGGTTTGGATGAACTCAACATGTATTTTAGAGATCTGAACAAACACCCTAGGACCCAGAACACCCAAATAAGCTTGAAGCAATATGCAAAAAGCATTCAGGACAACTTAACAACCACATAGCAAAATCCTGGATTCATGGCGACTTGGGCCAAGAGTTCATGCACTGCAAATATGTTTGACCTTGAATATTATGATGTTGTTATCTGATTATGTTATTATCTGAATAGGATTATGAAAATGATGTAATGCTACTGCGACATGCACGTTTGCCACAGCTCCAATAAGTGCATTTCCTTCCGATTTTACAGTAGAGTGCTGTATGGAGGGTTGTTATTATGATTCGTTAAAATCCTAAATCCCGCACGGAGACCAAATGCCCCTTATGTGCTCTTTCACCCCTTCCCCAGTCACACTGAGGTCACTTCTATAAGTCACAAAGCTACGCTGGTTACATAACCTCTTACTAAACTTTGGCTCAAAACGCACATTTGCACCAGTCCGGCTGCCAGGAGCTGAGAATGCATCTGCTCTGCCCAGCTGGGTGTCCTGTGGGTCAGTGCATTCAGCGCCTCTTCATGACGACAACGACATTACGATCGGTCACATTCTCACTGAGTCAGACAAGTACTGAGCAGGGCCATTATTACAGGAGAACACAGGCTAGTGTTATTCCAGAGATGTGGGGTGGTGTGGTCTAGGCATTAAAACTTCTGCTAACTGTAAAGCTGCTGGTGCAATCCGCAAGGAACAGCACATGATTTGTCAGCATTGTGCCCTTGAGAAATATTCTGAACCTCAGTGTCTGGTAAATGACTACTAATATTTCAGCAAGGGTTTAGCACACATCACATTGCTTTATTTCAGGGGCTCAAAATTGAATAGCCACAAAAATACAAATCTATGTAAAAGAAGAAATTTAAGTGATGCAGTGATAATGCAAAACTGTGCTACAATGTAGTAGGTGGTTGTCAGGTCAGTTCTATTCGGTCGATAAGGTGATATGAGTGGTTTTTAGCACGTTGTTAAACAGCTGTTAAGGTGTTCTGGGTAATTGCTAGAAGGGCTGAAAAAAATCCAATTGTGATTTTTCTGATAAAAATTGGGATTTCAAATGAATGCACATTTTAGGGCTTAACATTTTGGCCAAAAAAATATCAATATAAAATATATCAATATAACAAAAAAATTATAATAATTAATATTATTATTTTGTTATAGTGATTATTATTATTGAATAAAAATGTTAAACATAATAAGTATAACTATTTTTATAATTTCACTGTAAAAAATGAAATCACGCAATAAAAAAAAATATGTACACTGTAAAATTACAATACTTACTTATAAATACACAAGTAGTGTTCCCAAATGCACTACAAAAGTGACCCAAAAACCAGAGCAGATGTAGAGATGGATTTATTTTAGATAGAGCAGCATTTACTATGAACCAAGCCGCTATATTTAATTAAATTGCAGCATTTGTGATTTGATAATAGCACTAAGCCATTTCGCGATTTCGATTTTATTTTGATTAATCATTCAGCCCTACTTTCCAGGTGGTTTAATGATATCTTCCGCTAGTGTGGACGTTAATGTTGTTATAGTTTTAGAATGGGCCTTAACTCGTCAATCCTATTTTCTATGCATCTATTATGCATATTAACAAGCCTATAGCACAATCAACGGTTACCGTCCCCATACCTCTTGTCCTTATCCTTCCGAGTGTGTCTGGACCGGTCCTTGCTGTAGCCCTCATTGTCCAGCAGCATCTTACTGACCCATTTTATTTTGTTATTGGGATCCAGGTCGGCCGAGGGGACCACATTCTCCAGGTCCCCAAGATCACTGTGCAGAGGGTACGCAATAAGACACAAATTCCCTTCCTCGTCCTCCTCGAAACTCACCGACACCACACCTGGAGAGAGAGAGATGGAATAGTAGACAGAGGGAGAGAGAGAAAAAAGAATGAGGTCAGAGGTGAAACCATAATAACGTCACTTTAGCAAAGAAGAAGTAGCCAGAGTTCCGAGCTTAAAGTAAACTGTCTGGGAAATCTTTAACATCTCTTACCCACTTCTCTTTTTTGCTCTTAAAAGCTCCCGAGTCTTTAACAAAATCTACTGAGCCGACAGCACGGGCTGGTCCTAACCTGATTGGAATCACACAATCCATAACAAACAAGACAGAAATACTTAGAACTGAAAGAAAGAGAGAGAGGGGGGGGTCTAGGATTGAGAGAGAGAGAGAGAGAGAGAGAGAGAGAGAGAGAGAGAGAGAGAGAGAGAGAGAGAGAGAGAGAGAGAGAGAGAGAGAGAGAGAGAGAGAGAGAGAGAGAGAGAGAGAGAGAGAGAGAGAAGAGAGAAAATAGGGTTGATGGCGTGGAAGAGAGAGAAGTCTAGGAAACAACAACAGCCAATGAACAGGAGCTGTGACTTCACTGGATTGGTTCTCTCAATCTGTCATGGCAAACCATAAGAAACGTTTACGTTCAATCAGTTGCCACACAAGGATGAAACCAGCCCACAAACAAATAACAAGAGGCTTAAGATATGATGAAACCAACACTATTTATTGTCAAATATCAAATCATATCACTTCATGACTCAAATTCAAAACTGATATCATCAAAGCATCAGATAAAACACAATGGACCAAAACCAGGGAAAAATCACAGAAGAAAAACGTGGACATTACAAGAATGTATTATGAACCTGAAAGGCAGTCCCAAATAGTCTAAAATGTATTAAGAGACATAGTACATAGAAAAATCAACAAATCAAATATATGATATTCTGAAAGAGAGAAAATACTACCAGGATGAATCTCATGAAAAAAATAAAATTCTAATCGATTTTTGCGTCGATTTTATGCCCATTATTTTCAATGATGATTCCCATTGGCCTCCTATTACTCTAGTATTTTAATGCATCAAAGTAAAAATATGCAATACTTTTAATTTAAGCTGATTTAAATAATTAAATTAAAGTCAGATCAAAAATTCTACCATGTATACATTTTTAATCATGTAAATTTCATCAGTTTTTTTGCATTATAAAAAAGACATGTACAGTATTGTAATGATAATGCCACAATGCAACAAAAAAAACACCCAAAGTCTCACCTAGATTTTTAATTCAGAACAATTAAACAGGAAACAAATCAGAGAAGAGTCAAATGCACAGATGCAGTAATTTCCTACAGTAAAAAAAAAAAATGCATTTCAAGACACCCAAAACAACCACAGAGATTATGTCCAAGATTCTGTTTTGACATCACACCCATCCCTCAACCTCAACCAATAAAAAAGCAGATGCCCTGCACACTTATTTTCACACTGGAAACCAGGGCATTTAAAGCTTACGGACACTGCAGTGTGCATCAAAACAAGGCTGTAAATATTTTTGAAAAAAGTAGGGGGGAGAAAAAAAGAGACCGATGGACAGAAGCGAACATCTAAGATGGTTGAACTGGTCTTTCCAGGTTCTTCCTCAGGAATGACAGCAAAATCTTGATACCACAAGTGTGTGGGAGGCAGTCAATGATGTCATAAACACAGTCTTTTGGTCCAGATAGAAACATTTGCCATTGGTGCTTATTTTTCAAGTCTGTCAGGCTGGAAAGCATTCCAAATTCTGGTATTTCGTGATTTTCGTCCTCAAGCAAAACCCTGATACCTAGTTAGGTGTTTGCGTTAAAATACAGCCTTGCCAGCACGTAATAACTTACCTTATAGGGGCCCTACCCGAAAGGGATGTTTACAAGGATAGTAATACACCCAAACATTTAGATACATTTAAACACGACTTTCTTATTTCCATAGAATGATAGTAACTATTCACGTTCATTACAATAATAAAAAATACAATGAATGTGACTGAAAGGCCGGGCGTCTCTTTTCTGTTCCACGAAATAGAAAGTCATACGGGTAAGGAACAACATGAGGGTGAGTAAATGATGACAATTTTTATTTTTAGGTGACCTGTCCCTTTAAGAATTGATGATTACAACAGCGCCCTCGTGTGAAAACAGCGTTAAGACGGAAACACAGCAGAACTGCTGGCCTTCATTTAGCATGAAGGTGTTTTTTTACACTCTAACAAACCGAAAGACATTATATTGTACCCCAAAGACACTTGTGAAAGAGAAAGGAATAGCCTGTATAGACAGGAAACCAGAATAATGCGTCGCATTATTACTTACCTCTATATTGCGGTGTAAACTTCCGCATAGCCGCAGGGAGGCTCTTGTAAAACTGGTGCTCCCGGGGGATGAGGGGCTTGCATATCGTCTGCTCCCCGAAGCGAAGCACACACGAGTGTCCCCCCACCTGGTGCACAAAGGGCTCAAGGAGCACCCCTTTCCCCATATACCCCTGCGGCTCTGTCTGCATCCCCTCGATGGCTGGGCTCATCCTCCGGGGGCATTAGACTCTTACTCCTGGTCCAGTTGGACACCACAAGACGTGTAACGTTAGACGGTTAAAATGTCGAGATGGTCTCTCTATATTTCTCTCTGCCTTTCGTTTTTTTTCTCGATTCACTCTATCGTTTACTCACGACCAGTGATGTAATCTCAACCGTGCAGTAGAACACTGCAGGACATAAACAAAAGAAGCCGGAATGAGGAAGAAAGACGACACGACAGAAAAAAAGAGCTCTGTGTTTTGATTCAAATCCTTTCTTTTATGACACGAGTCATCTAGTTTGTATCTTTCTTATTTAATAAAGTGATCTATATTTGTTCTAATTGTGAAATATAAGGGATTACACCGAGAAAGAGCAGTTTAATCGTCTAAGTGTCAACCGTCTTCTCTCAAACTCTTCTTCTACTGACACCGTAATCGCTCACCGAACTGAGAAAATGTCAGCGCTGCATCACAAACCCCGCCTCTAATATCAAACTGGCCAATCAGAGCGCCGGAAACGGTGCTGGGTGGCAACCAGTGGAGAGGACAGAATGTGAACAAAGAGTGAGGAAGGGTGAGGTGGGGGAGGGGAGGAAGTAGATGGAAAACAGTCTGGGGTGGAGGGGGGTGGTGAAGCAGCAGCTCAGCCTCAGCTGTGTTTTTCTCTCTGTGTGACATGGATGTCTGAGGGAAGCTGCATGGTGCATACGTGCACTCGCTAGGGTCACAACGGCCACAACACGAAAATGCGGCAAATGCAGCTTTACGAGTACGGGGAAACGAAAGCTGAACTGAAAATGAACTATAATAAACTAGCAGATGACATTGACATGGTCACATATTCTATAAAGAAAAAGCAATCATTTTAACAATATAAACAATAGTTTTTATGTGTATAGCGCTTCACTATACACATGAGATTTGCAATGGGCTAACATATAGTATCGCTTTACGTGAGTAGGCTAAATGTGGAAAAAGTTAGATAGACCTACTTGTAGTTTAAATATTTTCGATTATCTAATAAAACCAAGCAATTGAGATTCGTTATAGCCTATAGCTTGTAAGCTATGGCTATGTGTTGATAAAGTTGGATTGCTATACAGCCTAAATTCCTAGGTACTCATTTTTTATTTATCTTTCTAATGTATTTAAATTTACTTTTCTTTCTCTATTTGTTTCATTGTTTTATGTTTTTTCATTGTATTATGTACAGGATTTTTGAATTAGGCTACATATGACCTAAGATTTAATTGTTCAAAATGACCGAAGAAAATAACTAACTAACTAACTAACTAACTATATACAAAGTTCCGTCATGAAACTCTAGATGGCGCATTTGTTAGCAATCACTTCGTTATCTACATAGCGCAGCTGATTGGTTGCTGTGGCATCAGCAGCCAATGAGCTTGCCCCTCAACATTTCAGATAGATGGCTCTGGCTGGTGGTATAGAGATTAGAGAGCCTAAGTCCCTCCCCTTCCGGTCGACCGCCATGGGACCTTATTTCGGAAAAATATTGTATGGTAGTCAATGGCGAGAGACAACAAATATTTTGATCTAGTTTGAATTGTGCCCTGAATTACACATATGATGTTTGTCAATTTAAAAGACTACAAACCCAAAAGGCGCACATTTTCTCTCAATGAATGAAGCTAACTTTACTGAAGCTAACGTCTGTCATTTGTCTATAGTCTTACGTTATAATCGTAACGTTACGCCGTCATGCCTGAGTGTTTTGTACAAGACTGCACACACACGAGCAACGGATCTCGCTCGTTGTTTCGCTTCCCGGGAGATGTAGTTCATTGAGCGATTTTCATATAAAACTAAATGTTACTCTTCTGTTTTATGACAAACCGCGACTTTCTTGACTGTCATAATTATCTTTTAAATTGACAAACATCATATGTGTAATTCAGGGCACAGTTCAGACGGAATAAAAAGATAAGTTGTCTCTCGCCATTGACTACCATACATATTTTTTCCGAAACAAGGTCCCATGAGCCGGAAGCGGAGGGGCGGGACTTAGGCTCTCTATTGTTGCTGTTAGCAATCTGCAGCACGCTTTCAGAAACGCTTCACCTTCCCCAGCTCCAAATATATCTGCTATGGGGTCATTTCATATATGTTATATGTACAGCAGCAGCATGTCTTACTTGCTCACAGCAATGTCTGTGAATGTATTGGTAGTAGCAAGTCTCTGTACTTGTTCTGCAGCAGCGTAGCAGATCTATTCAGACAAGACCAAATACATTTACAATGCCACATCCATTACCATGATAGTTTACATTTTGTAATGATAAACAGTCATGCAGTTGGAAATTGCTATATAGCCATATATTGCTTTACGTGAGTGTAATGTATGTATGCGGGTAAAGTTAGATATACTAGGTCTATATCCAACATTAAATATAATGCGGGGTGATAATAGGCCTATAGTTTAAATTTTGCTAAGGTATAAGCAATCAAGAAGTTGAGATTTGCAATATTATGCATGTAGGTGAATAAGGATGTACTTACAGAGATGTAATTAAAAGTCATGGCATAACACTTACAATAACACATGACATTGTACAGTAATATATTTAGTCCCCTAGTGTGTAAGCAAAAGGCAACTGCACGTGGCTTGCACATTAAAAATAATATTATTAAATATAGAACATACATATGAAATGCTATTATAGCCTAGCAATAGTATGAAATCATCTGTGAAAACGTTAGGTAAAAATACAGGCAAATGAGAGGAAAAACAGGTGACATGATACCAATGGACCCCATGGATTACTATTGTGTAAATTGGTGTCAATCGTTCAGCCGACAAAATGAAATAGGGTGTCAGTGAACAGATATTTGTTTTCTGAGGAACTGAGAGTGCTGAGTTTCAGACAATGGCAAAATCAGTGTTTTTTTATTGGTAATGTTAATGTGTATAAAATGTTGTTATATGATATTCAGTACAAAACAAATTTGGTTGGTGGTGAGAGGAAATGAGCAATTTAGTTCTGAAGACATCAGAAAAAGTTAATGGAATCTACTGGCCACATGATTTTCCTCAGAGAAAGAGAATCTTAGTTTGATAGATGCACGTATATCATCAACAGTATCTGCAGTATTGGACCACAGGCAGAGGGTTTGACTTTAATCCCTCTCTCTAATCCTGCCTGCTGGAACTCACGAGTGGAAAAATGGGCCATGGAAAAAGTGTGAGAGAAGAAATGAAAAGCATGAATTACGACTACAGGACAGGGAACCCCTTTTTTTAAGTTACCAAAGGAGATGGATATTATTATTATTGAATATGACTAGTCAAAGACCATCTATCAAGTGTACCATTGTCTAATATGGAAAATACACAAAGGAATACCAACTGAAGTCAATAATGTTATCTGTTAAAACTCTTATTTGATCACCAAAATGACATTTAAAATATTTTTCCTGGGGAAAAAAAATTGTCATGCCTTAGCTTTAATGTAACTGTACATCATTTCATATACGCGAAGCCATGAATATGCAAACTAGCCCCGCCTCCACTCACACAAACCAGCTCAGAATACCTGATCCACTTGGTCAACTTAACTGTAGTAAACGCTGCACAATGGCAAGTGAAAATGCTGGTTTAATTCAGCCATATGACCAGAAACTGATTCAGAAGAAGAAAGAGGAAAGTGAATTGCAGGATTATGAGAATGGTAATGCGTTTTATGTATCACTCTTTACAACGTCGGACACACAACAGTAATTATGATTAGCTTTTTGCTTGACTACGTTATCGAATAGCTAACAATGTGTTGCTAATGTTACACAAACCATGCCATCTCAGTCTGCCTTCAAAAAATCACCATCCTTATGACCCGTCTACACTAAAACGCCCTCCGGAGATTCAAAACGAAAAACGGGTCGGCAGCGTTTCTAAACTTCTCCGTTTTGGGTCTCCGTTTTTGCCGTTTTAGTGTGGACGGGCGGTGCAAACGTAGCAAAAGGTCTCCGTTTTTAAACGAAAACGCAGTAGTGTGGACGGGGCCTTAGAAATGCTTGATCAATTCAGAATGTCAGTGGAGAAAGGCATATAGCTCATCATAACATTGTAATATATATATCATTTATTACTATATTGTTAAATGTACCAATTTTTCATATCAACAGTAAAATATACAGGTATAACCTGGTAACAACTCTTGAGACTCCCCTGCTTCGCAGTATATGCTAAAGTTGACGTGATTGGTTACAAGGTAGTTCGTGATGAAAGAAACACTGGCGATTTCAAACCGTGTTTTTGAGACGGCCTTTTTTCACTGCAATTTTAAGGAGAAAATACTCTGCAATGGTGCTGATTTATGAATTTGCACATGGTTAAACTAAAAGCATATTAAAAAAAAACATAAACAACATTAAAAACTTGATTTTCACCACAGTGGGTCTTTAAATATAATTTACTCATCTGCATGTTTTTCCAAACTTTTTCTTCCTTACATGGAACATATAGGGAGATATTTTGTCCAATTATTTGCATAAACAAGATTGTAACTGGTGGCTGTCAAGCTAAAAGGGACAAAAAAGATAGGCTACCAAGTAGTCCGTAAATTATATTCTGAAGCCAAACAATAGCTTAGAGTGAGAAAAAGACAAATTTAAGTTGTTATTCGCTGAAATCTATTTTGCATCAGCAGCATTTTCTGTGATTCAGAGCTTTAAACATTAAAACATCATTACCGTGTTTCAGAGTGTGAGCATGGCAGGGTCAAAGGGGCACACAATTCATTTATTCATTAAAGGAACAAATGCAACTTGAGGGGTGGTATATCAGCGGTTAAAGGCCAGTGATACAAAAGCCTGACGCTTTGATCTCAGAGACCTGTGAACTTGAGAATCCCTGAGAGAACCATTGTGCCTTTAAATAGTGTGCTCTTTGTGGAGGGCCTGATATATATATAGTGGAGTCACTGATATTTTTATACCGTATGTTACGCTATGTAAACAGCATCTGCTAAATGACTAACTGATTACAAAACTAACCAAAATAACCAAATATACTTCTAATAAGAACTGTGCAGACCAGTATGTCTTTACAAATGTTTAAACAATACTGACCTCCAGTCAAGTAATGAAACGAGGAGAGGAGCCTATTCAAACTGCTGACAGAATGAAACACCAGCGTAATTACTGATCTGAGACGGAGCAGAGAGTTTTGGCAATTGCTCGTTGTTGCAATAGATTCTGAGATATGAAACATTCTGATCTTTGGCAGTGTAAATCTGAGACCTGAACGAGAATGAGAGAACCGAATGATACAATTAGTGATAGGTTAGCTGGGAGCATTTTTTTTTTTCGAGTTCTAACAAGGGCATTAAAACCTCGCCCAATGCCAAAGCAGTACTCAACATTCAATCCCAGACTTGGTACACTGTGATCCAGCCCAAACAAAGTCTGCAGGAGCATGGTC